TAGTACCTGTTCTGATTTTCAGTTTGAATGTGGAGACGGCACATGTGTTTCTATAGACTCTAGGTGTGACGGACGAAAAGATTGCCTCGACGGAAGTGACGAAATTGTCACCTGTCATCTACTTCATTTCGGGCGTTGTAAGAACGGAGATTATCTTCATTTCTCCCGATTTTGTGACAAAGTGGCTGATTGTTCGGACAACTCAGACGAAATTGGTTGTATGAATCCGCCTTGTAACGCACATCAGTTTCACTGTGGCAGTGGAGAATGCATTCAAATGAGCGAACGATGCGACTTGATACCCAACTGTAAAGATGGATCAGATGAGGCTCAGTGCGCAAATATCTATAGGAAGAAATTCTATTCTTGTTTTTCTGATACATTCATTCCGTACTCACAGAAACACGACGGCGTGGTGGACTGTCTAGGACCCTTCGAAGAAGACGAGGCGGACGAGTTGTCGTTACAACAACCATTGATGGAACAGTGTGGATATCAAAACATCGGGCCGTGTCTCACTTACGTGTACAGCTGCGACAAATATTCTTATCACGAAAAATCATTTTTTCTCGTTAAGACTTCATCCGGCAAAAATTACAAAAATGCCCAGGTGTTCCATATGAACAGGACTTGCTTTTACGAAAGAAATAAATACGACATCCCATTAACCTGCAGGACTGGGAGGCACCTCACACAAAACGTGTCTCGCCTCAACTCAAAATACTGGAATTATGTGGATAAAGCTGTTTTTCTTGAGCCATCAACATTATGCCACGGGTTCACATGTCCCACAGATTTATACCACCAATGCCCGTCGTCGTACTGCATACCTGCCAGATCAGTTTGTGACGGGGTCAAAGACTGCCACGATGGCAGTGACGAAATAGCCTGTAACAACTACTCCTGCCCAGGTATGTACAGATGTCGAGGGCAGAACAATTGCTTGCCACAAAGAGAGGTGCGGGACGGAGTCCCTCAATGTAAACTGCGAGATGATGAAACATTCTATGGGTTTCAGTGTCCCCCCGAGTGCGTTTGTGAAGGGTTTTCGGTAATTTGCCCTGGGTCGGTATTCAAGTGGTCACAAAATTCTAATCAGAGTAGATTAACTGAGGTGCCTCTTATAATAGGAAGAGATATGGTAAGGAGTCTCATTTTAAAAGATAATCTTATATCAGAGGTCACATTGGACAACTGCACGCGACTGTTACATCTTGACTTATCAAACAACTCACTGGTTGAAGTTCATAATACTATGTTTCAAGACACTGTCAATCTACGCAGAATTGATCTCTCAAAAAACAACATCAGCAGCATCCAAAGTGGTGCATTTTCCAATATGATTTCTCTTCAAGTGCTGAACATAAGTAACAACCCAGTAACTTCCGTTCCGCAACTTTGTTTCCACAATCTTCCTGCTTTGCAGCATCTTGATCTGTCAGCTGGTCTACTGTTTGTCCTGGACAACTGTTCGTTTTATAACGTATCCATTGGTGTTATAAACATATCGAAAAATTATGTCCAGAAATTTAATGCCTGGTTGTTTTGTGGCTGGCACAAAGTGAAGGCGATTGATCTGTCTGGAAACCCGTTGGAGGTCAAACAGGACGGACCACCAGGTGATATCGACATTATAATTGCAGATACGTTCAGTGTCTGCTGCATTTTTCATCAGGCAAATTTATGTCAGTCTAAAGTTGATCTTTTTGCTTCGTGTTCAGGTATGTTCATGGAGATAGTGGTTAAGTACTCGTATTTTGGTATGGGTCTTCTTTCTGTGATGTGTTCGTTAGGATTGCTCAAATCGTATTTAGGGCTTGAAGGACTGTTTCAGGTGAAGGAAATTGCTGTTGTATTGAATGTTATTGAAATGCAAACCATAATACCAGTTGTCATAATATTTGTTAACAATATGCGGATGACAGATACTTATTCCAGCTTGTCTGATTCCTGGCGCAGGAGCCCATCGTGTCAAGTAGCGTCGTTTTTCTACATTTTTCCTCAGGTTTGTGTTCCTTTAATAATATTTTTCGCTGCTATACACAGCATTATATTACGGGCCGCTGGAATCGAAAAAACGCATTTATTAAAGCGCACGGTATGCGTTGGCATAGTCGTTGTCCTCACCGCGTCAATTGCTTTTGGTGTTCTTTTGTCCATGGAGGTAGAAATCCATTCTGGTACCTGTTATCCTTTCGTTTTAAGCAGTCTTATGACTGAAATACAGTATAATTCTTTAGCGGTTGAAATCACATATCTGTCAATGTCTGTTATTTCTCTAACAACTTTCACAGGAGTTTTCCTGCATTTGCTGTATTTTTTAAGATCTTCATCATCCCTCACTGATTTTCGCAGTATGTGCTGCTTTTTAGAAATTACCTTATCCGATGCTATACGCTGGTTCCCGTTCACAGTCTCGTGTATCTTGCACTTAAAGAACAACCCAGTGTCTGATTACGCTGCGCAGTGGGTGCAGTTAGTTATGCTTAACATGCGGCCTATCGTATGTGCCTTTATTCATATTTGTTTACTGCCTTTGTGGAAGAAAGTTGAGCGTTTGTTTGTACAGGCACGGGTTGCATCAACTGGTCAACCGGCATTGGAGAGGCAACGAGTGGAGACAAGAGATGAATATGAAGATGAAACTGAAGATACGCGATTATAGAATAAATATGAACAATAAAAAATATCAATCAAAATGTATACTCTATTCCTGAAGTTGGTTTCTGGAAAAAAAATGAATAGAATAATGCGTACTTAGAATTTTCTATCGTTTTTCACTCAAATTGCAGGTAATAGTGTTTTTTTTAAAAAAAATTCAAAACCTTTAATCTTTTTCAGAAAATTTATAACTGAAGTTGTTTTTAGTGTGAAAAATAAATGTTATATTAAATTTACCCTTTTATTTAATACCTTAACTATGGTTTTAGATTTCTTCAAAATATTTTGTGGTTGAAGTTATTTTAAGTGTAAAACTATTATTGTAATTGTATTGTAACTGTATTATTGTAATTTGAAGTGCACCCTTTAATTTGATGTCTTCACTGTGGTTTTATAGCCTGTTTTAATGCTAACAGTACAATATTGTTCATCATTGTAAAATCTACTGAACTTTTAAGAATAATTATTAATATAAACATAACCGCTATATACATATACCAATAAACCGTCAGTGTGTATAAATGTCGCTAGCAGACCCAGGATATTTTTGGTAGGGGTCGATAAAATCCATGTCAAGTCCGTATATATGTAGTTTATAATACTTGCATATTATTTGTTTGTTCATGAAGAACAATTTATTGAGTTACTATTATATAAATTTGTAAAAGAAACAGATTTGATGACTGTATCAGATTCCAATGCTATTAAATTAATGCATTATGTGATATGTCGCGAAACACTATTCAGATTTTCTCACATCATGGCAGATCCAGCAAAATATTCACATAGACATCAGACAGACCCGTAGCCAGGGGGGATTCTGGGGGTTCGAAAGAACCACCCATTTTGTCAGGAAAAGGTCCATTCTGTGTAAAAATTGACCTAGGTACACAAATTTGCCTTGTAAGAAGTCCACTTTTTCAGAAAAAGAAGCCCTCTTTTGAAATTGTGGGCTACGGGCCTGACAATGATCAGCTGGTTGGACTGACCAGCTGTACCCTCGGAGATTTTGCTATGATTGTGTAAAATATATCGTACCTTTGTCTTTGTCTTTACACTTTCTGTCTTGTTATTCACACAGGAGATCTCTGCCATCTAGACTCACCGACAAGGGGAGTAGGTATTTATACTCTTTATCACGGAAATAAACTGGAAAAACTATCAAGTAGATAATAAAGGGAGTATGATTTATGTTAATATTCACACTCAATAGTTCCAACTTACATAAAAAAAAAAAAATATATATATATATATATATATATATATATATATATATATATATACGTTTTTTATTATTCTTACAGTGACCTTTTTGCCAGGAATATCCATTTTGAAATTCAATTGAAACATCAGGATTCCAAACATAAGGAAATGACATTATATATTATTATACTTAGATAAATCTTGTGTTATGTATACCTTTAGATAAGTTTCTCCCTTCATGAATGTCAACGATGAATCCATTTGTCTTTGAAAAAAGCGTGAGAAAACTGTATGTTTTTACACTTAATTCAAGGACAATTGTGAATTTGATTCATTTGTTTATTCATTTCATGAATCTAATTGAAATATTTAAAGAATATGTGAAATTTTAATTGCCGAGTATCAATTAGGCTGACATGAGTGTTTTCATTCAATTGCTTTAGAATATTATTTCAAGCCAGTTCATTTTCTCGTTCAGATGCATGATTGAGGAAGTATGAGAAAATATTTTGTATCTGACCACGTAAAGAGACACAATAATGCCATTATGGAATCACAACAGTATTAATTATTTCGAACAATGTAAATGGTATGAGAAAGAGAGAGAAAAAGTGAGGGACGGAGGGAGGGAGAGAAAAGAAGTGAGGGAGGAGCGATAGAAAGAGAAGGAAGGAGGAAGGGAGAGAGAGGAAGGAAGAAAGAGAGAGAGAAGGAGGGGAGAGGGAGGGAGGGAATTCAGACACAATCGTTTTCCTCAGTTTTATTCGACAATTGCACTCGTTTTGCTGTTTTCTAGAGCATTTGGAGGAAGCACACATTAATGACAATCTTATTGAAGCACCGCGTAACTCGTAACACGAGTTCATCATACGAGACTAAACATTAATGTCAATTTACATTTTTAGTCAATGACGAAAATTTCCCTCAACTGTTTTCGTATGCTGTTAAGTACAACGACGGTGCCGCACTTCTGTGGGGAGGGACCAAAGGAGCATTCAGATGTATATACACCATACCTATTTAAGATAGGCCTATATTTCTATCTTCATTATTTTCAATTAACACGTAAATACTGTACGTCATCAGCGATAAATAAACAGAGAGAATATCATGCAAAACATCACAACAAAAACAAGCTGCTTTCAAACTTTGATATTATTCAAACTGAAAATTGGAAGTAAGCCAAAACTGTAACATTTTCCAAATAAGTCGAAACTAGAAAAACACATCATTTCATAAATTTGCACAGTTAGTTAAAAATTTCTTATCCATTTGTTTGAATATTTCGGATATTTCTCGCATTTCTGGCAGTCGAATTTATTGCGGACAACAATAGATGGCGTGCCAGGTATTTTTGCCGCAGTAGTGGTGAGAACAATCCGCGTCCCTCCCCGAGCCACACGCTCCTCGGACCACGTACCGCCATGGGCAGATCAGGAAGTGACCCCAGTAGCCACATCGCCAGAAGCAAGTGCCACGTTTGGCTCTTACCGCGGCCTAAAATGGTTAAATATGAGGAACTGTAAAAGAGTATTCTTTATCTCTGGAATTATTTAGAAAGATTTATAATGCGCATTGTGAGAAAAAATGTACATGTTTAACAGTGTGACAAGCAAAATGACACAAAACCAAGCAATGTTTCCATCACCTCTACCCCTAACATAATGCAGATAAATAATTATCTTTTACATGCAATTGCCTCGCCAGGCTCAGCATAATATGTTTTTGTCCCTTCCTCTTAGCTCCGCTAGTGACACTGTACACAACCCTTTCATCGTAGTTTCACTTACAAGTTTGAAGCGTTTCTTACCTGTGGAGCGCCGTTGGTAACCGTTGCCATGGCAAACAGAGCTAAAACTACAAGGACAAGCCCGACAGTAATTCGCACCTTCATTTTATGGCGATCTGTGAAAATAGATACCGAAAAATAATGATAATGATAAACAAATAAATGGATTAATGAAAAATATTGATAAATTAATTGACTTCACAATAAATGATAATTAAATGGATATAGATAACTATTTGCTTTTAAGAGATTATGATAATTGTAAAATCATTTGTTTTATAGCCAAGTTTTTTAAGTATATAATGGTGATTAACCACTCTTTTACTATGAATCGAGTTTTAAGTAATAAATTAAAAAAATCAATTGCATATTCTACAAGTATATGCAGGTTGATTAAAATTGCATAATGTTGCTTATATAACACAATTCAATGCGCCTTGAGTGATAAAATGTAAGAATAACATCTCAGCCTGACATTATTTCTTTTTATCTGAACATTTACTCAGAATGCTGAATAAAAAAGACATGATACATTCACGACATTATTGTGCGGTCTTGAAGGAACAGGTACGAGATGATGAGCGGTATAAAAAACGAATTCAAATTCGCTAATTGCTCAACAAATGTAAAAAACATTAACATTTCATGAATATAAAAGCGATAATTGCTATTTGATGAAGGATGATGATCAGAGACGGACATTAACCAAAAGAGGGATAAGTTGTCGGAGTGAAATAACACGTAGTCATTTTCTGCAATGTATTAAGGTTCATAAACCGATCAAGGTGACAGCCGAGAGTGCTGCTACATGTAACATGTTGTTGGTTTAAGCCCCTTTTACACTGGACGACGTCCGTTCTGCGTTAAGTCGTACGGCCCCGTTTGAGAGTAAAAAAAAAAAACTTTGCGCGCCAACAACTGGCCGATCGTTGAGCATTCATTCTGTAACCAAAGGTATGCTTGTGCCTCTTTTCTACGACCTCAGTGATTCCAGATTCAAAGGACGCAGAAAGGACGCCGCCCAGTGTAAAGGGGCTTTTAACGATTGTAGACCAAAGAGGTGTCACACCTCCTTGGAGAGACAAAAACGTGTGTCTGCTCTCACCCCCCCCCCCCCCTCCACATTTGTACCACTCACCCCAAAATTAAAAATAAAGATACCAGGCCCGTAGCCAGGGGTGGGTTCGAGGGGGTCGAAAGAACCCCCCTTTTTGCTGGGAAAAGATCCACTCTGGGTACAATTTGATCTATGCACTTGAGGATTTTATGGTAAAAGGTCCACTTTTTCAGAAAACGAACCCCCCCTCTAAAATTGCTGGCTACGGGCCTGGATACGTATTGCTATTTGCGCGCAATCTTTTCTTTCTTTAAGTATTCCTCTTTCATTGCGCTAATGTTGTCCAATCCTATCATTTATAAAATGATCCTATCATAGTTAATCATTGATAAAATGAATAAGGTAATAAAAATTATCAAATTGTAAACATTTGTCAAATTGTAAAATATACTTTACCTTCGTCAAATGCAACTAGTTCCACCCAGCAGATAAAATGATAAGTTGGTTAACAAGTGAAGAAAGGAGAAAAGGATTTTTTTCGCACCTGTTTGTCGAATCGAAAAATGGGCAATTGGTTTGGTAATACGACGCCCACCTTATGAATTTGATATTTCATTCACCTTATATTGAAAAAAAAAAAAGCTCTGCCTGAGATACTGACATCAAAATTTAGCAGCTGTCCTTTTTATACATCATATGTACAAAAATAATTAGATTTCGTCTACTTTCCCCGTTTCCAGGGTTGCCGCTCATTAACCAACTTATCCGTTTTGTCGGCCTTATATGTCTTTGTGAAACACAATTTAGCCGAGGGCATCTGAACAAATAAATAATTAATGTCTAAGTAAAAAAAGGGCCTGATGTTAATGCTGTCGTTTTTATTATCTAAACGCCCAAACTATGGATTTGACATTTCTTTCGCCACGAATAGAATTGAATAAACAGAAACCGACACTGACTGACCATCTTCAAAAATTTAGCTGTTGTATTATTTAAACATCACATATTTAAAAAATACAAAATATCTTCTAACAACCCTTTTTATAGGGTAGGCGCTTTTTAACCAACTTATCCGTTTTGTCTGGCGGCCTTTTTAAAAAGGTCTTTGTGAAACGCAACTTAGTCATGGCCTGTAACCTACATCTGTAGCAACCTTAAGTCTATAAAATAAGTAAAACAAATTGAATTCTTTTTAAACGGGGCCGGACGCCGTATATGACTGATAAAGGTCTAAGATGGTCACCGGAACGTCTCAAAGGTTTCAAAGTTTTATGTACATGGAAAGATGAAAAGATGGAAAAAATGAAGAGATCTTGTATCTTACCTTTGTTTTTGTACTCACAGTTTCTGACCTGTACCCTGTTATTCACACAGGAATCTCTACCTACTAGTCTCACCGACAAGATGAGGGGGGATTTATACTCTGCGTCACGGAAATAAATTTTTTTAACGCCACAATTAATAATTCAAACATGATAATTTAACTTTTTAATTAAATACCCTTGTTAAAGCTAACTATGACTGTTTGCCTGAGAAAAATGTAAGATAGCCAAATTGAAATGCAGATGAACATTAAGGATGCAAAATACAAGGAAAGAAAATGTTTTCCTTCATTTCAAGAGTTGTATTCAAATAAGTAGAAAACATTACTGGGGTTTATTTCAGATTGCATGGTGCCGTAATATATACGTGACAATATCGGAGTTTCTCCAACTGTCTTCATATGCAGATGGGGTGGGTAGTGTCATCAAAGGTCAATTTTTATGAAGGACTGATTTGAAAATTTACATTTTGTAAGAGATATTTAAATACATTAAATATCCAGCATTTGCATTTCCGGGTAATTTGAATTACTACGTTTAAGCGAATATATCCCGGAACAATGCAAAAAATGTGCGTGTCCACACGCGCACACACACGCACGCACACACACACACACACACACACACTGGGACAATACAAGAAACGGTGGCAAGATATGTACATGTTTTACAATCACAACACAACTTGTGAACATTACATTGACATTGACGTTTTTTCCCATAGATGTACATGCGCACAAAGAACATATACACTGATGCTCATAAGTTAAGCAACACCCCGGTTTTTTCAAAAGTGTCTTCTATCATGATCATTATTTCATTTGATGGTGGGATTATGCATATTTCTTTCATATTTTATAAATAACTTATTCAAGTTGAATATTTCGGTTAAAGAAATACACCACACAGCTTATTGTAATAAACAAAATAACTTTATTAACTAAACGGTACTAAAATATGCCAAACCATGTGTCAAAAAAGTATGCTCACACAGCAGAAAGTGCGTGCTGATTAAAACAGCTTATCTAGAAAACATGAAGCTCGACCATCTAAGAATTAGTTTTATAAAAGAAGACTGTAGATAATATATGATTAATCGTCTATTATGCAATAAATATCGGGTGTGCTTTCCCTGGTTTTGAACAACAGCTTTACATTGTCTATTGCAACTTGCCACCAAATTCTGCCAATCTTGCTTTGAGAGCCGGTTCCATTCTTCATTAACTGCCTGCTGGACCTCTCCAATTTTTCTAACTGGAGGTTGTCTCTCATTTACTGCCCTGTCAACCATATCCTAAGCATGTTCTATTACATTTAGAATTGGTAAATATGCAGGCCAATCCAAACGTGGGATACCGCGCTGTTACAGCGCGTCTTGCACGGACCATGCTTTCTGGAAGGGCGCAATGTCCTGCACAAAAATGATTTTTCTTTCTGGATTTGCTTGAATGTGTGATTATATGCACCCCAATGGTATTTCGTCTCTGTATTGTTGACCAGGGCACCTCCCTTGAATGACGTACGGTGGCAATTTTTCATTGTTTGGCTGATATGAACTGGTAATGGTGGCATAATCGAACTAGATATCTTCATCTCTTGCGCCGGTTAATATTGGTCTACCAGAAAGAGGCGTGTCCAATACATGATGAGTTTGGCGCCATTTTGCTACCGGCTTGGACACTTGACTTGGTGCTGCTTTTTTGTTGCCTTGCAATCTGTCTCTTTGGCACGATGGCTTCCCATTATTTGCCATCTGATTACCTCGTTGAGTCCTCTTCTAACCATTCGTTGGTCCAAAATAACAAATTGTGCCCATGAAACTAGCCAAACTGGAAGCTCCTCATAGCATGGCCAAACTGTGTTTTTCGCAAGTGGCACCCCCATTGCATATTCTAGCGTGTCCAACAGTAAATAGTACTCTAATGTCCCTGTCCAGTAAGTCAAAGTAAAAACAAGAGAAATATTTAGCTATTGTACAAATTTTGTCAATAAAAATTTTGGTTGCTGAGAAATTCGAGAAATATGAAAGTGTTGCTTAATTATGAGCATCAGTGTAGGGTTCAATTTTCTGGCTGTCGAGTTTATGTCGGACAACTATAGATGGAGTGCCAGGGGCCCGTAACTCGAAAGCATCGCGTATTGGCGAGTTAGGGAATCGAGTCGCTTGCGCTCGGTCGCAATGCGCGATGCTTTCGAGATACGGGGCACAGGTCTTTTTGCCGCAGTGGGTATGAGAACAATACGCATTTTTTCCAGATCCACACGCTCCCTGGACGAAGAACCCACTTGGACAGGTCAAGAAATGACCCCAGTAGCCACATCTCCAAATGCAAGACCCACGCTGGCTCTTACCGTGGCTTAAAATGATAAAATATGAGACACTGTCATGTAGGAGTATCTTCTCACTGTAATGTAAATTTATAATGATTAAATTAGATTTCTAAATCTTCAGTACCTTACAGTGCCTCGTAGCTGTGAAAACGAATGTTTTGAGGTATTTTTGAACTGCAAAAATGGACCTTTTTTGACAAAAAATCGTTCAAATACCTGAGGGGATATGGATGCAGCACACAGGGCTTGCGTTTCTTGGATTTTGCCCTCTACTGGCTTCAAGTATGTTTCGTTCTTATGTATCACCCAAATTGCTTGCAATACCTCGTGAATTACGCCACTCAATGCCTTCAAATCACCCAAGCCCAAGCTTTTCCCATTACATTTGTGTACACATTCCTGACCACATTTTAGTTTGCCAAAATTAGTGAAAACTTTCACATTGTCCTCTTCTGCTGACTTCTTTAATTTGTCAACTTAACCACTAAATTTCTGTATAACCATTTTTGGATATTTTTAAAGTCAGCTCATCATTTTGGAGATTCTGGCTTAAAGTACTTAAATACCGTAAAATATATTAGAATCACCTAAACTTAAATTAGATTTTTTTCTCATTTAAATGCCTCTATCAGACGTGTCTATACTTAAAATTTTTCGCTTTGTCATCTCTATATTTTTATACCCGGACACGGGCTTAATATAACTTTTACTTTACTCTGTTTCTGAATATATATTTGTGTCCGACTTGTAAACAAGATTAATAAAACTTAATGCTGGGAATACATTATAGTATTTTTGCCCTAAACATGAATAAGCCTTCTCCAGGTAGGAAAGCTACTTAACACTCGGACCTGGGACTGGCTTACCCCAAATTATATCAGGTGTGGTGACTATGGTAAAGAGATAAAAAGAACCTAATGACTAAAAAGACATCAATCTATATGTATTCCCACTGTTTTAGAATCTCCCTTTTCTGTCAACTTTAAATGGGTGGATATATAATTATTTTAATTTATTACTTAAAAGAGACTTTAGATCCTGATTTTGACTTCTCTTCCGTGACTTAGGATGGGATTTAAGAGCGAAGATTAACGGTAGAACATCCATTCCCCCTGGAAACCTGGAAGCGTAGAGTTTACAGAGGTTACAGCTGGTTACAACGTAAGTGTTTTTGTTTTATACTTTTAGATGTTTATCGTTGTGCTTTCAAGAGATATAATGATTTGAAAATGCTAATCTCCCGGATCACTGAAGAATATGAGAATATTATTTGTGGGCATTTCGCGAGTGAAAACGGCGGAACAGATTATTCATCGGTTCTAATCTAACCTTTTTTTCTCTTTTTTTCCTTATGTTTTCTTTCAAAATATTTTACATTACTATTTTTTACGTGGCATTTTATCACTGACTGCTTTTTTTGTTGATGTTATGTCACTCAATATTCATTTTTATCATTATCTTTTTACAGATCGACTCAAAATGGATACCCGAGTGTTGATCTGTTTCCTTGTCGTGCTTTACCTGGCGACTGTCTCGGTCGCGGCTCCTGTGGACGAATCTCGAAGTGTAGAGGGCAGAAATAACGAGGTAAAGATGTAAACTATAAAATAAAATTACAACATTAAGTGTTACTGGACTTCTTCCTTCAACATCTGCTGATAAAATGAAGCTATATAATTGCTATATTAAATTTGCCTGACTGTATGGGCAATGTATACATCTGCTTCAACTATTTTTTTTTACGATTTATTTTTGTAGGAACAAAAAGGTCAATTATTTGGCGCTCAAAATAGTCGAATATATCCATTATTACTACTACATAAGCTACTCAAGTTTGATAATATTATATTGAGCCTTATGAATTTTTATTCCAGTGAGTACCGTAGAAACACTTTTTTGACAGTCCCTTATGTTTTATCATTTAAGGTCATGGTAAGAGCCAAACGTGGATCCTGCATTTGGAGATGTGGCTACTGGGGTCACTTCTTGACCTGTCCAAGTGGGTTCTTCGTCCAGGGAGCGTGTGGCTCTGGGAAAAATGCGGATTGTTCTCATACCCACTGCGGCAAAAAGACCTGGCACGCTATCTTGTGTTGCCCGAAATAAACTTGAAAGCCAGAAACGTGAAAAAAAATATCCGCAGTATTCAGATAAATACACAAGAATACTCTTGTCAACTGTGCATAATTTTGAATTGATTTGATGCATAAGATTTGATTTATTATCTTTGCTGTTTGGCCTGCTTTCACTTTGCAGTTGGAAAAATAAAAAATGACCTTCTAAATATTGCGTGTTTCGGTTGTGATTTAGTTCATTGGACAGTGATATTTCTGTTTGTTTTCTGAAAGGGGCCCTGGGTATTACACGTACAAAATAGTCCCTCGAGTGACATATCTTTAGAATGTATTATAATGGTTGATCAAATAGACAATTAAATGGAATAAAAATTGCATCATTATAATCATTATTATCATCTGAAAGGTGTACTCGTACTTTTTGCATTTGGAAATGTCCCAATGTCATATTTTCTCCGTCTGTATATCCTGCACACTGCCGAGTCCTTCCCAATGCAAACCTTGAAAACATTATAAACTGTCAAAAGAAAGTTCCTGATGTCCAGATTTCCTATTGAAATATACACGGAGACTTGGTTTATACATAACTGGCCATTCCTTCAAAATCAAATTCTTCTATTAAATGGTATTAAACATCAAAAACCCAAGTAAAAGAATTTGGTCGAGTAAGAATTTGTAAGTTTC